CGTGTGCGAACCTCTACGAATGCAAAATATATGCCTGTTGTGCGTGGAGTGCAAGTGATATTTGGGGGTGGTGTGGGGGGTTAGAGAAAAAAACAGATCAGCAGGTGGATCCGTGTGTTTAATTGTGTGATCAGCATTCAGTAACTCATTATTGACTTGTTGAAATAACTTGACTGCATTTCTAAACGGACAGTTTGCTACTGAGACAATGACATTCGGCTATTCATGCTTGTCAATCTCTTTGTTGAAGTGGTTGAGAATTGACGTACGGCCACATGCTCTTGTGCTGGTAGATAATTTCGCCTCTTGTTAAATCTCACATGTTCGTTTTGGATCTCCTACTAACTACAAATCAGTGGTAGTTGATTTCCTGCAAAAATATTATTTTAGACGAAAAGGATCGTAGTTCTGTCGATGTTACCTTCCACACGATGCTATGCAAATCGTAGTCAGGGGCCTCGACGACACCCTGCCAATGATAGCTCAAAATCCCGAACATAGAACACTTCAGGAAACATTGCCGATTGCCATTTGGACATGTCTACTTTACACATTTACTTCCATACTTACTAGTGCGTGTCGGGTTAATTGTTGTATTAAGCAGGTTCAAATAAGCCTTGATTTGAACTGTTTCCACGGCTGCGTTTGGCTTCAAATTTATCGACTGATTGCCTTCGTTTATGCGTACGCAGTGTTGAATTGCTTATTCCTTTGATGCCATGAAAGGATTGGTTTACTTTTAGAAACTGCAGTTGCGTTAAATTTGAGCCTTATATAACGACAGCGAAGCACACTGAATGCACATGGAATTTCTTAGCGCTAAAACAATTATTAAACGCTGCTTGAACAAAGAATGCCGGGAATTCAAAGCAGAGGTCGAACCCTGTCACGGAGGAGTCAAGGCCCAAAGGGAGAGGTTTAGCTGAGTTGCCTGAATTCATGTCTGAACTACCGCAATGCAGACACATCAGGGATATATAGCGGCTAAGTTCCACTATTTGGGGTTTCAATACAGCGCGTTCCTTCGAGGGTCCCTGGTCTGACCCCAAAACGTGTCACTTTGTTCCATGGACTGCTTTAACTTAGCTTTCATTAATTTGAACATGAAAATTCTGACACCGTCGCATATTTAGCTAGTTAATTTCGTGGTCTTGACATATATATGTATCACTCGGCTCGGGTTTATCAGATTCTATGAACAGTCAAAAAATACCTCATTAAGAAATTGGTGTCAGTATTCGGTGTTTCAAATTCTGTAAAGATAAACAGCAGATTACAACTTATTGGGTCGTTAAACTGACTTACAGAATATCTGCACCTCTAATTTTTAATTAAACAATCACTGTCTACTTTATAGTAGACCGTTTGCGTCCGCAAATGGCACCAAGATTACTATGGTTATTTGCAATACATAGGCATCACGCATCCTCACAGTGTACCAATTTAAAATCTACATTTAACAATCATACTTATGATCTGGTTAGTATGCCATCAGACAGCAGAGTTCGGGGCCTAACAAGAAACCAACGTGTTATGAGAGTGCGCATTTTATTTTCCAAAAACAGATGCATTTATTTCCTATTACTGTTAGAATTCTGAGCCGGAGTTAGGCGACAGTATATTTTATAGGTGAGTACTAATCGACTTTGTGAGTCTTGTCGTGTATAAAAAATGCCAAACAGAATGTGTTCCTGTCGCAGTGTTGAATAAAGATTAAAGCTATAGTGTTATCTATTTTCGGTTAGAAGTACAAATGTTTGTGTAGGATCAAAATTGACCCTAATGATTCGTTCTTTTACAAGAGAGTCACGTTCTTTGTGTGTCACATAAAAATTAATCAGTGAAGAGGCAAAGGGCCATGAAGATTGAAGTCAGTTTGAAGGAGCCCAACTTCATAAGTTAGTTAAGCAATATCAATTGAAGCAGAATGAGTGGGCCAAAAAACGATAAAACTTTCATCTAATGTATGCATAACAGCAACACCATTATGTTAGACATTGTAACATTTATTATTAATAAAGGCATTGTGTTAGAGGACAATAATGCCGCACAATTATAACCGAATGCATCAAAATGTAACCTTGCATGCGACTGAAAGAAGATATTGCACTTTGCATAAAATTGCGATTAATTGTACGATATGTCACAAAAGCGTACAGATTCACTTCCGAAATGTCTTAGTTATTGACTCTCCTATGTATGGCCAATATAGGCGGAAATATATTTACATTTAGATGACTTCATATCTTGCGTGCAAATAATATTGCTTAACAGTTATATGCACCACAGATCTTAAATGCATGCTCACGTGACAAGGTGTCGTTATACCTCACTTAAAATTAAATTGGTAAACTACCCCAAACAGGTGTAATATGTGGGTTGGCGCCTTCGATATTTGATTTGACGAGAAAATAACATTGCAAAAGAGGCCATCAAGATATCCTTTCTTTAAAAAAGTGCAACAAAGCATATTTGTCTGAACAAAAATTTCCCACTCGGGTGTATTTCGATTGCATGAAGGGATTTTAAATCAACACAGTGGCATATTTTAAATGAATGTTGCCACTTTGCATCTTTATATATAGATCAAGCAGTAATAGTGGCAGCAAACGCAGGTTGGTAATTAGCATCAGCTGTATTTTTGTGGAAAATAGGACAATGCGACCTTGAGGACTTTATTTATTTAAGCTTTTAGTAGTAAGTGCTTTTTCCCCGATTTTTAAAATAGTTTGCTCTTGTTAAAAATGCCGGGTTTATTCAATGCTGTCTTGAACAATGGAACCAAAATGCCTTTACTGGTTTTTGGAACTTCAGTAATTGTGGTTTTCTTAATCTGATATTAGGTTTTTGATAGGATCCCGAAAACGCCGTTGGTGACGTCGTCGTTTGTGCAATTGAAACAGGTTACAGACATATTGACTGTGAACTGTTCTATAAAAACGAAGAGGAGATTGGAGCTGCGATATCCGAATGTTTGGCGTCGCAAAATCTGAAGCGTGAGGACTTATTTATCACTTCGAAGGTATTTTCACCCCTGATTAGCGTGACTGCTTATTGCTGTGGTGTGATAGTCATAAGCCAGACGACGTACGGCCTGCCTGTAATCTTTCGTTAAAAAACTTGGCCTAGAGTATCTCGATTTGTATCTTGTTCATTGGCCTGTGTCGTTCCATGCTAAACCGGGTAAAGTTCTTAATGTCGATGACCCGGATACCATTGAATTCGAAGAGCATCCACTGGAGGAAACATGGAAGGTATGTCACGTACACGAAACCTAATGTCTTTTTTATAGGCCATGGAGAGTTTGGTTTCTGTTGGTCTAGTTAAGTCGATCGGTGTGTCTAATTTTAACAGGAAGCAGTTGGACCGAATAATGGAAATCTGCACCATACCCCCAGCGGTGAACCAGATTGAAGTTTCTTTGAACGGTATGAACACAAAACTGATTGAGTATTGACATTCCAAGGGTATTCATGTTGAGGCTTACGCCCCAATCGGATCTCCCGGTTTCGTGAAGTAAGTTAATTATATCTGCGGTGGTGTCTTCTACTATTACCAACAAAAGCACCGGAAGTTGACGTGTTTTTATTTGTAATCTTTCATGTGATTTTGCCCTTCAAACACATGATTTCGAATGAGGAAAAGGAGTTTTTTGCAAAAGAAGTTGTGTATTGTGAATCGCAATCCACCAGCCTGAGTGATGTTTGGTATTCTTCCGTTTCTATCACAAAATCGAATGTTTAATTTTGCCTGCTTGTTTTCTCGTCAGCCTAGATTTTGAGAGCGTAAGTTTTGTTCACAGTAGTTAATGTTACTATTCTTGCATGCAAGATAATAAGTTTAAATTCTCGTTTCTTTCCACACAGATAAATATCTCTGGTTTTGCAAGAGTTGTTTAGTAGGAATGTTTGCAGACTTGTAGTTGAAATGCCCTTTTTAATTCCAAATGTCTCCTAAACAAAGCGTAAGCTTCTAGTTTAAACTAGTGTTGGTTTGCTTCCTTTGACTACATGGAATGCAGGTTTAAACACAGAAGTGTTAAGTTTGCCTTTAAGTAACTGGTTAATGGTCGTTGAAGAGGAACAATGCCTTCGCTTTTAGAAGAACCGCTTGTGAAGGCGATCGCGGACGCCCACAAGAAGACCACAGCACAAATACTGATTCGTCATGCCTTACAGCGAGGACTTGCAGTCATATGCAAAATCGTTACAAACTCACGTATCAAGTCGAATTTTGAGGTAATTCAAGACTATTTCTGGTGTCAATTCTCTCGCATTGTGTGAATTTGATTTTTAACACTTGTTTGCTTTACTTTGAACAGGCTAAAGCCGCATATTACTCAAAATAATAAGTAGATAGCTTACGATGGGTATTGATAGGCAAAATAATCCAATCTCTATTATGGTTTGCATTTTACTTTGAGTGTGCGGTACCCATTATTGTACTAATCTTTTTTGTTCCTGTTATTTTTGTTACTGTTATTGTATTGATCCTTTGTGTTCCATATTGTTTTTTGACGTTATTCTTTTTTAGGTATTCGATTTCGAACTCACTGATGCAGAAATGATGAGATTGAATGCAAGTGGGCGGAATGCACGAATTTTTAGGCATATAGCGTAGGTTCATTTCTTTTATTACTCTACGACGCCGGCTTTTTACGGCGTTGTTTTTTTACTATATAGCTAAAAACTGAGAAGCGTTAGGTTCTGTACAATGTGGTCCATTCCAGTACGTCAACCTGTTACCTAGATAAGTAAATGTTCAAATCCGAAAAATGCATTTATTGCGATGGTTTGAAGGATTTGTTGAGTTGACAGGGAAAGTAAAACTAGCATTTCATACACCTTGTAAGGAGCAGGTGGTATTTGAGCAGAATACTTTGGTCCACTGCGAGAAGCGTTTAAGCATGGTCGCCTAATGTCAGTTTCTGTTGCTAAAAGGCTAGTATAAGCATAGTTTAGGTGCCAGTAAATGTGCTGTTTTGTGTTTAATTATCTTAATTCCTTTCTTCGAATTTCAGTCTTAAAGACCACTCCGAATACCCATTCAATGACGAATATTAATCAAGATTCGTTGATTATCTCACAAGACGAGTCAAATTAAATTTTATCCATTGCATTCGACTTTTTATTCAGATGTTACAGCGGTAGTCACTGTGCACTCCTCCACATCACTGAGATTAAGCAAGTTTTTGCATGCTGACAGGAGCATGCTTGAAAAATCTCCTAGCAATGTTTATAATCAGTGCATGCCGGAAGCGTTTTCTTGACAAATTACTGTGTCACCATGTCTTGCGGATAGCTTCAAAGGCTGCGACGAAGCCACAGCACTAACAACGCTTCATCACTTGTGGTCTATTTACATCGATATAATGGTCACGGTTACCCAGACTGCACTCACCAAAGCAACACACTAATTTGCCGTTCCGGATTTCACGGGTTGTAAGGGAGGTTGAAGATTTTCCCTAGCTGAAGTGAATGTCGTTAAGGTAGATAATGTTGAAGTTATCAAATTAGCCTGAATTTCTAAGCCAATGTGGCTTTAATTTTGCAAAATTTGCTTGACATCATAACGAACAAGTGGTCCACCCCTTGTTTGCAAACGAAAGCTTCAGACGATTAAATTTGGACACGCCGTTGGGAAAACAATTTTTCGATTCGGCAACAGCCTTAGCGCCTAGTCACCGTAAAGTGAAGCAATTAAAGTAAGAGGTGACTGTAGGTGTCTTCAGGTAGGCCAAGGCGACAGGGCTTTACACTACTCAGCGGCTTGATTTAAAATTCTGATAAGTCCAGTCGTTAGGGTACAGGTGAAATGGAAGCCAAAAGCCTTGAATGACCGAACCAGACTCAGAATTGCACCTTAGTGTGTCACACTGTGACCCTCACGGTCTGTGTTTTCTAAAGTACGCAACCTCTGTGTTCGGTTTACTAAAATTTCCATTCAGATCTAGGCAGTGGTTAAAAATAGGCCTCCACAAAATGGTGCCAGAAAGCACTATTGGCCAGTACTGATTATAAAATAACGACTTTAATGGCTGAGTAGAGTGAGTTATTTTGTACAGCTGATATTGAGAAGGATTTCTTCTTCATATGCACAATGTCATCTATGGCATCATGTGTTATGCAGGCCATAAACATGGTGCTTTTGTGCACTGTTTCCCTTAGTTTCGTCAGGATTTCCTTGAAACTGACTTCTCAATTTTCTTACTGGGATCCAGTGAAGACTATATTTAATTGCAATCTGACACGTTCTTGTGATTTGTTTGATTTCGGTAAGTCATAAATGGACAGAAATTTTGAAAATGCCCATAAGAGTAGTAGTCAATTTCATAAGGTATTGTGTAAGCTCACAAATATAGGATCGAGTAATGTAAAATAGGCAATGAAGGTTAACAGAAAATCGGGTGATGATTGATCAGGATATGCATTTTTGCGTAATCCATGATGACGACATTTAGTTAGCAGGTTCATTGCTTAAAGCCTACATTGCGAAATTGATTCCTTTGTTATTTGTTACGAAATAATATTTCAAGCCATTAGTCTTGATGATACGTAAAAGTCTTGGTTCAGGAATCAATCATCAGTGACATATATGAACTCAATAGACCCTGAAAAGTTGCTGTCAATTTATTGTAATATGGGCGCACAGAATAATGTTTATTGTGGCAGAAATAGCCATTTTGGAAACGCGCAAACAGTGTCACTCTTTATATTTTTAATGAATTGGAGTTCGTGGTAAAGCGTGAGACTTAAATTTTCCTGCCAGTTATTGTGTATGTATCCCAAACCGCCATTTTCATTTTGAATGCCAACACAAATCCAACAACCTCACGCACAAGTCCACAGACCAAAAGACTGTCTTGCATTGCATTGGGTTTAACGATCGGACTTTGAATTGGCAAACCAATTATAAACAAGGCAAAATTGACATATAGGTATTTAATGGCTCAATAATATACTTGCATAAATAAAGCTACAATTTTATTGCAATAATTTTAAAACAACAAAATGCATAAGCCTAGAAATTTGACTTAAACAATATTCTGTTTTCTGTTTCGATCTCGAATTGAGTACTTCAGTCCATTTATCTTTTCTCGCTAATGTCAGTAACACCGCAATTAACATGCAACTAAAACATTCATATAACTAAAAGTAACTTAGGAAAAAAGGATACAAATTGTGACACGTTAAACGACAGTATTATTTTCGTCCCAGGTTACCATGTTCCATTAACCAGGAGCTGTCGGAGAAATAACCAGACGAACTCATCTAGTTACACATGTGATATTATTCAAAGCCCTTCAAGTGTTTTTTTCAACGTATCATAGAATGTACAAGTGAATTGTGTATGGTTGAAAAGTGAACAGGTAGTGACAATGAAATGTGCATCTTTATCGCAATCGACGGCCCTGACAACAATTCAAATCCTTCAGTTTCTTATAAATTGGTGCTACTTTTTCGCGCAACCAGTTCCTAATTCGTTGAGGTTTGATATGCCTGCCATATCATCTATAACCTTAAACAGTGGATTTAAAATACCCACAGTTGGTCTTGGTACATTCTCCGTAAGAGAATTCACAGAACATATTTATTGTCACCGTAGGCGCCTAAAGGTCTAGTTGAAGATGCAGTCGTTTGCGCCATCAAAGCTGGATATCGACATATTGACTGTGCGAAGGCATATAACAACGAAGAAGAGGTTGGGAGTGGGATTTCAAAAGCGTTGTTATCAGAAGGTCTTTCCCGCAAGGATTTATTCGTTACATCTAAGGTATGTGCCTTTTCCCCAAATAGCTTATTATGTGCATAGCTTTGGTGTGACAAGCATGCACCAGAAGACGTACGTCCAGCTTGTGAGCAATCGCTAAAACGTCTTGGGCTAGAATACCTGGACTTGTATCTTATCCACTTTCCTGCTGCGTTCCATGTAAAACCATCCATGAGATATAATCCTTATGACCGTGATACTGTTGAATACGAAGAACAATCACTAGAAAAAACATGGAAGGTATGCTGTGCATGTGGTGTTTAAAACCTGAATTTTAGGCCATGGAGTGTTTAGTGGCTGCCGGTCTAGTTAAGTCGATCGGAGTGTCGAATTTCAACTGATATTACTGATTAAATTTCGCGTTGTTTAATGCGTCATATAAGCGCCGAGACCTTGCAAGGCTTTATCAATTGCGAATAATCACTGCAACGAATGATTTTTATCGGAAATGCAACGAAATGTGGCAACTGAAGTGACTGTTTTTACAGGGTGAGTTTTTGTCCTTCCACTCGTATCCACCGCAGTGGCAATTAGCGGTAGCAGCCACAAGTCCATCTTACCGGTTCAACACGGTCATGCTGAACACACGATCTGATATTTCTTCTTACAAAACTCGCCTTAAGGCTGCAGACCTTTGTGAACAAAATATTTGTCGTGCCATCGTACCAGTGCCAGCTGGAATCTCAAGCAGTGTGTGATGAAATAAATGCGAAATGAGTTGCTTTGATGTCACAAAGGAATTTGACCACTGTTAGAAATTGCAGTTTAGGTCTATTCACATTCTCAATTCATGTGCACTCAGATTGAGTGTGAATTATGGCCTTCAGTGTTCTGATGCTTTGTTATGAAGGAGTTGCACCAGGCACATCTTGACTACAAAGAGGGGAACAAGACACATAAATCATTAACTGTTAATGTTGTCATTGAATAATAGAGGTGCTTTGCAAACGTTCACAAGTATTGCAATGGCGTGATTTTGAACAGGCTGATGGACCCGGAAGTAACACACTCACGACTTTCATGTTAGTGGACAATGGATATCGCGCACGCACTGCCTGTCACGACTGCCCACGACGTCTCAACACCGCACGCTAATTTATCAGCCGTCCAGCAGTTATTTATGCAGGCCGCTTGAACAAGACCCGTCCGCACGTATCATAACCATGGCGAAAAAATAATTATGCTTTGTTTCGGTCTGTCGACGATCCTACGTGGTGCTCCGATGCTTTGTCATAAAAGCAGACCCACCAGGCACACCTTCACTGCCGACGAGGAAACTAACACAACAATCTCTGATATGTCCTCCACGACACACATTAAAAGTCAACATTGAATTAGGGCAGTCGCAGTGCAAAAGTGAATATTCGCCTAAATAGATATAACTGATTTTAATGGGAAAGACGGCGCCAGAACAATTTGGCTGCTGCTGGCATCGAAGTTCAACTAATGAACGCGTTTGCTTAATCGAATGTCGAATTCCCACATAAGGTGTGTTCGCCATCAGGCATTTTATCTGATGTGCTCGTGAATTGAGAGAAGGCCTGCTGCAACTTAGTTTGACCACCTTGAATAGCCATGTACCAATGGGGAAAAACAAGCCGTGAATCAGCAATTGGGGATCAGACCCTGGCAGAGCCACGATGATAAAGAAACTGGAATGCATTGGAAAGCATGGCGCCAGAGTCTCTGTACGTGAAATTGCTATGGCAACAATTTTCCTTGTACCCAATAGAGTTCTTGCTCTCGTAGTGGGCGATTACATTTAGAGGTATACAAGGTCATCTTAGGTCCACATTTGACCTCTAGAACTTAGCTGTCAATTCCCTTCAGATGGTCGAGGGAGACTCCAAGTCTGTTGCCCATTGTTGACGTGGAACAATAACAGTCAGTCAGGTGCTGGAAAATAACAAGGCGGAATTCCATCCACTAACCTCGGGTGCACGGAAGATCCCACTAAAATATCAATAAGCTAACTCGATTCTTCCGACTTTCGCGACATCGCTGTTGCTTGGCGCTCTTGCGACGGACAGCCCTGTTCATGGAACGGCTCGCGTTTGGGCACTGATTGCCAGTGGCTGCTTTCAGACACTTCTGCTACCTGTCACGCCTCAAAATGTCGATCGAGTAGTTCTTGCGCTATCGGACCGATTGAAGCTAGTGAGTACTTTCACGGGGTACAAATTGACCAAATACACGGGTGTAGAGTGTTGTAGAAAGTATTGTTTCAAATTGAATGTCGTGCATGTGTGCGCATTGCCAGCAAGACTCAGATTCCCATAAAACGACCTTTGGACACACAAAATATGTGTGACAAAAGTGAAAAGGGATTCAGAAGACCTAAATAAAGATTTTGGACAGGCATTGTGAGGCGATTTAATGTTGGTCGGTCACATAGGAGCGTTCGGTTGTAAAAAGGGCTCTGTGTACACACAGTTTTACGTTTAGGCTCTGGCGTGAGGTCACGCGGATGCTGATAAGCAGGCATTTATTACTGGAAGTGACTGAGCAACCAACGAATCGTTAATTGTGCACAATGTCGACCAAAACAGCTCAAAACGAACTGGCCTCGCATGCGTTTAGTCTTCGGAACGACAACACTGACTTAATAATTGATTAAGTAAAATGCTAGGTGAACCACACATTTCCCAACGCGCTTTCGGTCCACACATGCCTGTTCAGTGGGTGTTTAATGCATTGTGGTGAATCGTGGCGGGCATGCGTTTGTAGGCCAGTCAGGGTTAGGCCACATAGCGAGTCTTCTGCAGTCAAAGGATTTCGTTCAAATTACGATGCCATTTCTACACGCACTTGCGACCAATTCTTGAAGGTTGAAAGCGCATTCGTCATTAGCTGAGACAGTCCTAAAGACTGTTACTCAAATCGCGCGAAAGAGCAACGGCGCCAACTAATGTGTTGCTAAAGTGGCACAAACAGACTGTGCAACACCACTCTGAAACCGGTCACTTGTACTTTCTAACTAATTTGTTCACGCTTCTACCCTTGTAGTGTGCATGTTTACCGGCATTATATTTAGGTATTTACGAGAGTTTGTGCAGGATCATGTTACTACCTTGAGGTGACACTCTTGAAGTGCTATCCACCGAATCGTCCATGCGACGAACAGGGTCGAGACGCAGTTTCACACGCACCCCCTTTCAACCACTGCGGTCTGTAGTTCTCGATCAGTGAACCCTCCGGTTATTGTGTGCCAATCCCTCGCTAGTACTTCCCACAATATCACAATATCGAATTTCAGTCGACCTTATTATTTGCAGTGAATCATGTCGTCGTGAGGTGGTCAGTGACGCAACATGGCTGGCGTACACTTTAACATTTCTGTTGTAGAATTGTATCTTCATGTTTGTGAGGATATCGCAAACAAAAACAACAACGACGGCAACAACTACACTACTGTTCACTACAGCAGTAGAAAGTGTGTCGCACATTCTCAATTTGCATTTTGGCATAAGTTCCTCGGTTCAATCAACTGTCCACTAATTTCTGCAGTGGTACGGGAGCTACACAGTCTTCCCCATTAAAACTACATACTTCCATTTAGGCAATTATGCCCTTTTGTAAAGCGCCTGCTCTGAATCAATGTTGACATTTATAGTGTGTCGGTTCCCTTCTCTGTATTCAAAATCTGCCTGGTACGCCTACTTCAGAAAAAAACATCAGTATCTGTGAACCGCCACTTATCCATACCACTCCTTAAGCATTTTGGCGCACATTAAGGGATGCCGCTATAGGCATCAAGCTGAAGAGTGCACTTGAAATGCGTACACCAGCAATTGCCTACCTGAAGTACAGGCCTCGAGCGCAGCAGTAAAGCTTCTTTCTGGACACGATTGACCCAAATCACAAGAGTGCAAATGAGTCCGCCGTTCACGTTCCACCATCAACACTCTTCGTTCTGCCACACACACACAAACACACACACACACACACACACGAACATACTTATCGACCCGCACTGACTGATTTCCATGTCATCGACTACACTCGCCAGCACCTAACGCCAACATCACACCAAACATGTCCACATTTGCTGCAGCCCTTTCACTTCCATTGGATGGCATCGTATGCACGCCGCCCTCGAACACCTCATCTAAGCAAACCTCTGTGCATTCACATCATCGGTTCGACGTGAGTGAGCAGAGAAATACGACAACCAACCAGCGAATGCAACACTAATTTGGCAGTAAACAAACTAATTCTTGCCACGCATTCCAATCTGACTGACATGAAACCAACTATGCGGATGACTTAAGCCGAACCATGTTGACAACCATTTTCCGACAACGCCGTTGAATGCGGACAGGTTGGCAGATTAAGACGCTAGGCGAGGCTGCCACAACACAACACACTGCAAAGGCAGATCACTGTATTTATTTACCTCAGTGCTGTCACCACAATTCCGCCGCAGATTATCCAAAGCGATGTTTATTCACCACTGGTTAAGCCTCGTTTGCCTGTTGGTCACGCACAACTTACGCGCTTATTCAACTCAACCCACAACGCGGCTGCCAACTAACAACGTCGAGTTGGCCTTAGCAAATGACAACGCCATTACACTGTGCAAACAGGCTGTGTGCAAACAAGGTTCGACTACTGCTCCTCGACATGGACCGTGCCGAACATTGGGTCGGTTCGTGGAGCCACTAAAGCCTACTAAGATATGTCACATCGCGACTCTTATCAACACAGAGTCAAATTCCACAAATGCGACTTGATACCATGCCAGTAGGCTGACCTCGATTGCACCTAACACTGGTATCTTCGAGGTAGAGGAAAACAGAAGAACCGGACTTGACAGTCACAACGACATCTGACTTGATTGGCCAAATGGAAACTCTTCCAGGCAGGAGATGTCCAGTGGTGAACACACGACATGTCGTTGGGTGTGGATGAGTTGGCTAATGTCAAGAAAGGAATCGCTGCGTGATGCCTTAACTGTCCACAGCACATTAGTCACAGTTACTGCTTAGCTCAGTTTGATGGCAACATGCAAGTGTCATTTAACATGCCGAAGGCCAACCTGCCGACAGTCTCAAGCTCAATGACTTTGTCACACAAATTTTACAATGTTGCTTTCAATCCTTAGCTGTTACACCCTCACGACAACGTACCAATCAAAGGAAAGACATACATTTGGTTCATTGCCTTGTTTGTTAGCATTTCACTAGTGCTAGACGTGCTTTGCGCAAGTATTAACTGTGGTGTCACCATCTGCTCTGATAGGTTAACATAGTAAGTGAACTCACCTTCCAACGCATTCTTCTTCATTGCAAAGCATCGAATTATTGAATCAGCTATCGACAGGCCTGCAAGGTTTAATCCAATCTCACAACGTAGTGAACTTGCAATTGCTGCTATTGAAAACTAATAAATGACTTAAGTAGGCTTACTAAAACGAAAAGAGGTGTGGAGGAAGTCGCCTCAGATATTAGCGGGCTAATGTGCTGCAACAACCACATTTGCATAAACGCAGTACTGTGCAATGTCACCTTCGAAGAAGGTAAGACTGCTCATTCGACACAGAACAAAAACGCCAGTTCCAAAGTCTGATCTTCACGAACGCCGTGTCATTATCGTTAAGGCACTCAGCATGTTGATTGCGAGTGTCAACACAGTTTTCATCGTGCCAGGAAACGAAAGTCCTCGTATCCCAAAATGGAAGCACGCTGTGTGCATAAACACACACTCTACCTGTCGCCAGGGGCTAGTCAAGTCGCACTTCTAGGCCACCGGTCGATTTGGCGTAATCTAGTTCACATTGGTTGAAGCCGGGTGACCTTGCCAGTGGACAGCATCGCTGAAAATGATTTGTTTCCTAATTTTATTGATGGTGTTGAGGTACACAACTACGCAGGCGTCGGAAGTGCCTTCTTCCTATCAATGGTATGGTCCTTGTACCCAAGGGTGGTCTCTGTTAAATTGACGGCAGTGGTACTTTCAAGTCAAAATAATTTAATTGCATTGCTTAGGAAGAAATTCAGTTTTTAGACAACGGAATCTAGTAATGGTGTGAATGTTTGCAAAATGTGCAGTCTACAGTAGGTGCGGGCCTTGTTAATCAGAGCGGGTTATAATTATGATTGGTGGCCAGTGGGATTTAATTTCGGATGACTGAATCTGTCAACACAGTTTTCCTTAAATGCGGTGCACACTATCTGCAGGAAAAATTGAGAGGGAACCAGGAGCAAGCATCCCGAACTTACTTTCGAATTTCCTTGAACTGAAAGGCTAGTGGGTATCATGTGGCTAATGTCACAGGCCCCTCTTTCTAGGCATTCCAGCCTATGTGGATTCTACTAGAAGAGATGACGGGGAATTGGAATGGCTAACGGCTACCTCCTGCTGCCTTTCAACAACTGGCCGTTCTGTCAATCGTTCTGCTGAAATCAGCGCGCTTGTTAACCCTTCCTCGCTTCTATGCCCAAACCTAGGGAATGCTGCGTAACGAAGTGTACGACCCCTTATCAACCAAAAGTTGCTAGTAATTCCTAATTGGGCATCGCTAGTGCAAATCGAGTGCAGTAATTTTTAATTCCCCGCCACATACCGAATTTCTATTTCACCCAAACCATCAAACTGTTCAAACTTATTCAGCCAGATCAGAGTGTACACACGCGGTCAATCGGCTCAACAGACAAGCAGCTAATTGAGACATTTCCATTGCCACTGGGTTAATCCTCAGCCAAACTGTTTGGCATAAACTACCAATGGTACACAGCTTCCGATTGGGTGCCAGAGACCACTGGACGGGTTCAACCCATTATTTTGAACCTTAGGCCGGCACAATTCGTATTGAACCCTAAAGACTACCCTTGTGTCACGGTGTAGGTACCAAACAACGTGAACCCAAGCAGTGCCATACTTCCATCTACTACCCAACTTTCCCACACTGTCATGCCTCTACTGGGTGCGAAAAAACCACGAAGAAATTCAACAACGTAAAACAATCATTCGCTTAGACACGGTTCATTACCACAGCAACATTCGCCGACATGCCTTACTGAGCAAAGAACCAGAGAGCAAACTCTTCTCGTTTTTCAAAGAAAATCAAGTTACCAAGACATTTTTAAACTTAACATCATAAATCGTGGTCTGTATGTTCTACTTGGTATATGCCAATCGTTATTCCTCCTTGTGAGGGTATTCAGGGTGGTCTTTTATCCTGTAAAAAGGCAAAAACAAAACAACATTTACAAAATCACTTAATATCTAATTTCTCACACTCGGTACAACGCACTTTCACACATACATACTGCTAACAGAAAAATGGTGTCTTTGAGGCATCGTGCACACGAATAACGACTTCATCATTTTAGGAAAATTAAACGTGCAATTAGACAGCTAGTAGGAAGCTGGATACAAAAGTTTAAATTACGTACGCAGGTATATCGAAGGTACGGATATTACGACCACTCGTATTCAATATCTTCATTTCTTCTTCACTTAGTTCAAAGTCCAATACCTGCAAAAGCAGAAAATCTGTGTATTAGAACATGTAACCGAAAGGACTTCACTATTCTATTAATATGTTCTTGAACTCCGATAACATATCTCTTACTTGACCTTATGGTTAAAGTCGGTGGTGTTCAGTTAGGAAATCAAACACCATTGGCCAATTTGCATCAAAACAGTCTAGTTTAACATTGATCAAGAAGACCGCTATGACATCTCTAATAGAACAACTATACCAGGTGGTGTCACCACTAACTGGAAAGCTTTGATTAACAAATGCTTCATTTTTCATAATCAAGAATGAATTGTTGCTAAGGTTGCTGCATTGACTTACATTGAAATTCAATTCAAGGCGTGAAGGTGTGACGCTTTTGCATAAAACGACCAGACCTCGCTGAAGGCCATGACGCAGCAGTATTTGCGCTGGAGTCTTGTTGTGCGCAGCTGCTATCTTCTTGATAAAAGGCTGTTCTAGAAGAGGAGGCTTCCTAGCTCTAAAACATTCGAAAATAGAATAATCACAAACGACAAAATCACAGTACAGATCGTCAACCAGCGTTAAATTAACCCACTGAAACCCCAGCATGAAGCTGTTAGTTTTAACAAAGATTTTTCTTATTCATATCAAAGAGCTCAATTAGAGCAAATAAACTGACCTCTTTAATGAAACATATATTCACACATGTTTAGAGTACAACTAAACTCTATAAACGGAATACCCGATATAATACTCAGACAACATCTAACGCGCGAATTGCAAAAAAACCTTCATTGTTCTCATTGTGCACAAACTAAGACATTATGGCACAAATAATCTTACAGCAAAGATTTTACAGCAGTAAACTTACCCCATGACACCGGGATTGCCGAGTACACCATAGGCTTCAATATTAATGCCCTTAGACCAGCAATATTCTATCAATTTTGTATTCATAAAGTCCACATTAACTTCAATCTGGTTCACCGCTGGAACAATTGAGCCAGCGCTCATTATACGATCCAACTGTTTTCTGTTGAAATTCGACACTCCGATTGACTTAACTAGACCAGCAGCCACTAAACACTCCATGGCCTAAAATTCAGATGTCAAATACTACATGCACAGCATACCTTCCAGGTGTTCTCTAATGATTGCTTCTCAAATATAACATTACCAGTTCCGTCGGGGTTCATTTTTTCTCCCGGCTTCGTGTGGAACGCGGTAGGAAGATGGATAAGATACAAGTCCAGGTATTCCAGCCCAAGACGCTTTAGCGACTGCTCACAAGCTGGACGCACGTCTTCTGGTGCATGTTTGTCACACCAAAGCTGTGCATACAATAAGCTATTCAAGGGTGAAAATCGCATACCTTAGTTGTGATGAATAAATCTTCGCGGGCAAGACCCTTTGACAACAATGCTTTTGAAATCCCAGATCCAATTTCTTCCTCATTTTCATATATCATTGCACAGTCAATATGTCGATAACCTGTTTTAATTGCACGAATCACAGCCTCCTCAGCAACATCTCTAGGAATCTATAGAGAAAATGATAATCTTATTGTTATTCTTGCATAAAATGTGCCATATGCCAAAGTGGGAATTTTGAACCCACTATTTAGGGTAATAAATGACTTGGCAGCCATACCGAATCTCAGTTAACCAAGAAGTGTCACTGCAATTTATACCTAAACCAACAAGTTGATTGTTTGTCAAGGTCGTCGATTGTGATAAAGATGCACATTTTATTTCGACAATTTAATTTTCACAAATTTTAGTTAAACTAGTTTTAACTTTATGTTTTTTAAATCGGTTTAGAATATATGGTTTTTTTTTATAAATACCTTACTGAAAAGCGCAGCTGTTTCTAAATTGGACATAAAGCGATTTAGCAATAAACGGTACTTCTTTTTGACAAGACTCCATTGAACCAGCATAGAAGCACTCGAGTCTGATAAAGAGGAACAGCTTGTCATGTTTGAGTTTGGGTATAAATGCTTGTTGGTGAATCAAGCTTTTCCTGTATCACATTTAAAATCTACAGACCTTTCGAAGGATATCGATAACAGACGTCTGCTTTTAAAGTGTATGTCAAGCCAAATCAATGCAATAAACAGCTTTTTAATGAAAAGTGTAATACCATTGTACACAAAATATCTGGGTCTGCAGGAGCCAGAAGATGAAAACTGGATCTATCAACTACAAGATCCTTGGTTTGCTTTGTAATGGGTGTTATTGTTGAATGCTCAGAGGAGAGTTGTTGTTGTTCCTTCCATTTTCGCATACATAGATTTGGAACAATTCCATTGACGTCACCTCCATCAATCACTATACACTGCTGTCATATACCACTCCAATTGCAAACTTAACTTGCCTGGCCTTTTTGCAATTGTTTCTGTTGCAATTTCCCTCAGACTGCATTGATTAACAACTGCAATTTATCTGACACAACCGGCCTGACACAAAACAGTTTGAACCATTAAATGTATGGTTTTCTTTGATAAAATCCTGAGTATCCGTGTAGCATTATCAGGTAAATAAAAAGAGGCCACTTCTGAGTGGTTCACGACCACGTAACGCGGCCTCTAACAAATAGCTTGCTTGATCACCCTGTAAGAATGTTTGCTTGGCCAGTCGCTGTTTATCTAAAATGACAACTTTTCCATAAAACGCCATTGACTTTAGACAATAGGCAATCTGACGAAAGGTTGGTCATCTCATTAAGACAAGAAAAAATTTGCTAGTTGAAAGTACGTGGGATATGTGTGCAACATTTTGCTTTGCGTGAGCTTTGAAAAAATAATGTCATTAGAAGAATGAACTACCTAGGTTCTGATGGTGCATTTAAAGTACTTTGTTTCCAGATTCCTTGTTAACTGCTAGTTTGCGTACTCGAGTAAGGCAAGTTTGACACAGAAAAAGACAACAATAATGAAAGAGTAGCTTTAGAGTCAATTTAGTAGCATTTTAATTTTACTGTATATTGTTTGCAATGAATCAGATGACCGTAACACATTTTGTACTGATATTCCCAACTAAAACAACTTTAATGATTGCAATAGACATCAAACCACTCAAATTGATCTCACTGATAATGCTTGTGTCGATCACACAAAATCAGTATTAGTGTCTCTGTAACAGCTAAGTCAAAATGAAAGTGAAGTTCAGAAACGGAAGTAAAAGCAAACATGTCACAATCCAATGAATACTGCATGCGTTTTAACAAAACCACAAATTGTCATCCGAAATTAAATCCCACTGGCCACCAATCATAATTATAACCCGCTCTGATTAACAAGGCCCGCACCTACTGTAGA